CACGGCGCTTTTAAGCTATTTAAAAGCGAAGGAAAGCGAGGAAAAGAGGGAAAATTCAAACGAACTAAAAACGAACAATTGCTTTACTCCGAATTGCCGCTATTTGAAAGTGAAAGTAAAATGCGCACACCGCTTTTACAAGCTATTTAAAAGCGAAGGAAAGCGAGAAAAAGAGGGAACGCCCCCGCCCGCTCTACAGTTTTCAGTGTCACATGATTCTTCAGAAATCATTCTAATTGATTTGGTGCACACAAAATAAAGATATTTGTAATGGGCTTTAAATTATAGTGTTTTCACACTAGAGGTTTGATTAAACAAAAACTTAGATTTGTTTCATTTGGAAGTCGACTTACAAACTAAGAACCACACATAATGTCGTTAAACACAGAGTGAAGTGCTATTGTAAATGTATATTTTGTGATATTGTGTAAATTCTGACACAATGTTGACAGTATTTTGGTAGTTACACCAGATAAACAAAATCCAAGCAAATGATGATGCTTTCCAATTGTAACATTCAGACTTGAGCATTTGTTTTCTGGCAGTGATGATAAATATCTTGCAGTTGTTCTGTTGATGACAAGGAAGAGGGCACAAATGAATCTTTGAGTTTGTGCTCAGAAAAGTGCGTCTTCCCTGACTCTTTGTCCAGGTCTTTGCAACGCACCCTGAATGAACTGAAGGAGTACCAAAAGCAGCATGATCATTACCTGAGGCAGCAGGAGATGCTGGACAAGCACAAGCTCATTCAGGAAGAGCAGATCCTGCGAAATATCATCCACGAGACCCAAATGGCTAAAGAAGCTCAACTCGGTTAGACTGCATGTTTTACCTTTCAATTCCAATCATACAGTTTCTGTAACATAGACCCACAAACTCAAGATTGTGCAGTATACTGGATAAACAAGTTTCGCAAGCCTGCCAGATCTATTTGGCGCCACGTTTGTTCTCTTCCCCTGTTGATTGCAGGAATGCGGATAATAGGACTTAAATGTTTTGTTTCAGGAAATCACCAAATGTGTCATATGGGCCAGCAGAAGTTCACCCTGCACTGCCCGTATGACTTGCCTGTACGGTATCACCGTGGAGAACTGTTTGAAAATGTCCACTACATTCAGGTGAAACTGAAAACACACCATTCGAATTATTTTGCTTTGTGTGTGTTAATAATTAGAATAAATATTGAAGTAGTTTACTCGATTTCTACACAATAAAATATTTAGCCGAACTTGCAAAATGTATATCATTATTTAAGTTCCTATGGAGTTTCAAAATTTGACTTTTGCATGTCTAGAAAAAACATTTAAAATGAGTAATATCTTGATTTTTTTAGTTGTTGTAGCTTATTTAAATGCTTGAATCCTTGAGGGCGCCTTAGGAGTGTGTGGAGGCCCCCTAGTAGACCCTGGCCCTCTGGTTGAGAAGCGTCGGTCTATAGTAATGCCAGTCCACAAATTTCAGTGGACAAGCAGTGTTTCATGTAACAACAGTGGATCATATTATTGTTTTGTTTGCGTGTCCACTATACCCTACTTTGACTGCTTGCAAAACTATTTTTGTATGCGGATCAGAATTAAACAAATTAGCTGAGTAGCTGAAGCTAACTTGTTTATAAAACGGTTGTATGAAAGCAATACTTTACATGTGATAAAGTTGTTGATGATATTCAGTATAACATCAGTCTTCTTTGTTATATTGCTTAAGTGTCAACCTCCTCTTTTTTCTGTGTGTGTGTGCGTGTGCGTGCTTGTAGTTTGGTGAGGAAGTGTCAGTAGCCAGCAGTGTTGCTCTGGTGTCCGAGTTAAGTGTGAATGAGAGTCACAGTCCTCAGCAGTCCTACACCGTGTCTTTAGGACGGGAACCTGCAGCCCACTGGGACAAGGAGACCACCTCCACCGATGTAAGATTGTCGATTTTTTTATTTATTTTTTGGTAAACCCTCCTATTGTTAGCTGAAAACAACAGAATTAGCCTAAAATTTTAATTAACACAAATGCATGAGAAGGAGTTGTTTTGAACTTTGTGAATGAGAAGTTCTTCAGACACAGATTACATGATATACTAATTATTGGCATATCTATTTTTTGGCATATTTTTATCTGCATATGTCATGTTGTTTATATATGTTAGAACACAGTATAAAGGTGTGTTCATGCCATGTTCGAATTATTGTAGTTATGAGATTCTGACTTAGAACTAAGTTCTGACTGAACTAGTCAAACTCGTTATTAAAACTTTTTAAAAGTATACTTATTAAAAGTATACCACCTGACCATTGCAATGAAAACACTCAAAATGTTGGAAGGTTTAGCCATAAAATGTAGTTATCTTAAAGGGATAGTTCACCCAAAAATGAAAATTCTGTCATTAATTACTCACCCTCGTGTTGTTCCAAACCCGTAAGACCTTTTTTCATTTTCGGAACATTCTCTGACCCTCCCATACACTCATACTCTGACCCTCCCATGTCGTGGACTCGCGTTCACAACAGTACCATGACACAAGCGTGTGGCGGCGCCGGCGCTGACCCAGATCCGGCGTGATGACGTTGATCACATGCACCGTGTCTTGTGTTCAACGTCATCACGCCAGATCTGGGTCAGCGCCGGCGCCGCCACACGCTTGCGTCATGGTACTGTCGTGAACGCGCATCCACAAGTGACGCAGTAGAGACAAAAATGTGGAATAAAGTAATTATTTTTGTTTTCTTTGTGCAAAAAAAGTATTCTCGTAGCTTCGTAACATTAACGAAACGTAGTAAGGAGATCGTTAAAATAATCCATGTGACATAGGTGGTTCAACCGTAATTTTACCAAGCTACAACAATACTTTTTGTGCGCAAAGAAAACAAAAATAACGACTTTATTCAACAATTCGTCTCCTCCGTGTCACCTTATAGCACCATTTTGGAGAGTATCACATACGTAAACAACGTACGCTGTACTGTGTCAGCAGCACCGTACACGGATACATTGTTTACGCTTCGATCTGAACATAAACAATGTATCCGCGTACATACATTGCATACATTGATTACGTATGTGATACTCTCCAAAATGGTGCTATAGGGTGACACGGAGGAGACGAATTGTTGAATAATGTCGTTATTTTTGTTTTCTTTGCGCACAAAAAGTATTGTAGCTTCGTAACATTACAGTTGAACTACTGATGTCATATGGACTACTTTGTCGATCATCTTGGTACTTTTCTGTGCCTTGACCGTGGTAGTTCCCTTGCTGTCTATGGGAGGGTCAGAGAGCCCTCCGATTTCATCAAAAAATTGTGTTCCGAAGATGAAAGAAGGTCTTACGGGTTTGGAGCAACACAAGGGTGAGTAATTAATGACAGAATTTTCATTTTTGGGTGAACCTTCCCTTTAAAACTAGTTATCTTGGAATAACTCGGAATAAAAACCTTAAAAAATCTTAAAAAATAAATGAAAGACATGATTACAATGCAATTTAATGTAGCTAGCATAGAGTTATCTAATTTCATGTCAAAATATGATAAATACATTTTATCAATTCATTTTGGCATTATTAGCGTTGCCATAAAAATTTATAATTTCTGTATTATCTGTTGTATTCTGCATATTATATACTAGAAGTCACATTCTGTTTGTTGTGTGTGAACAGGAAAGTCATATGGTGCTGTGGCCCAGGAGGTCAGACTGTGCAAAAAAATTCCCCACTATTCCCCCTGTGCACCTACTTCCCACCTATTACCTGCCACCTGAGTCCCGCAACTTTAAGTAAGACATGGCACTGTGACATGAACACTTATGTTACATACAGTATGCAGTCACAGAATCACAGAACACGTAACATGTCACCTTGTTATCGTTGTCATGTTACCAGGGCTCTGAATATCCTTTTGGAGAGCAAAAGTCCTCCATCATCAGCAAAGACGCCGGATTGCAGCTTTAAGAACCTTGTCACTGCTAGAGACCCACTGGACTCTCTGGCCTGGGCCTTAGAGAAGGAGCTGCATGACCCACATGCTGCTGAGGTATGAGCCAGCTTACTCAACACTGTCAGTCTAAAGGCATTCTGTACCACACCCTTAGCTTACCTGAACTATTTGTGCAGGTAGATGAAGCAGGGAGAGCTATTTAGTGTGTGGGAGTGTTGCGTTTTCTCAGGTGAGTCATTCTGTGTGTGTGTTATACGCAGGTGTTGCTGAAGCGCAGTGGTGGGAGGAGTTTGGAGCAAACTGGAGCACTGATTGCTCAGGCTCTGGACAAGGTAAAAGAATAATAGTTACATGTGGCTCATGTTGAGTACATTAGCAATTGCACTATTTGCTCTTTGTAGATAATTAAGGACCATATTAAGTGAATTGCAAATTGAAGATTTTAATTGGTAAGATTCTGAAAATTGAGTCAACTGATTAAAAGTGGACAAATTATGTAAGGATGATAGTGTGGATCTTATGGAAATATAGATAAGTGTGAAGTACAGATAGAATTGAAGAATCAGTAACTTTATAATGAACATTTGTATAATATTTTTTTTCTATACAACATTTATAGTTACTGTGGACCATTAAAGGGGTCATATGATGCGATTTCATTTTTTCCCTTAGTATACATTTATTTCACCCCAAAATGAAAATTTGCTGAAAATTACTCACCCTCAGGCCATCCAAGGTGAAGTTTAAGTTTTGTGGTCACACCTTAGTTTAGGGACCAGTTCTCACTATTAACTAATTATTGACTATGACTTTTGCCTCAATAAACTCCTAATTTGCTGCTTATTAATAGTAAAGTAGTTGTTAAGTTTAGGTAGGGGGTAGGGTTAAAAAAATCTAAAATATGGTCATGTTGAATAAGTCATTAATATGTGCTTTATAAGTACTAATAAACAGCCATATGCTAGTAATATGCATGCTAACAAGCAACTAGTTAATAGTGAGAATTGGTCACTAAATTAAAGTGTTGCCAAATTTGTTTCTACATTGGATCAGATTTGGAGAGAAATTTAGCTTTACATCTCTTGCTCACCAATGGATCAACTGCAGTGAATGGGTGCCGTCAGAATGAGAGTCCCAACAGATGATAAAAAAATAATACACTAGCAATCCACACTACTCCAGTCCATCAGCAGATAAAAGCTGCATGTTTGTGATAAACAAGTCCATCATTAAGATGGTCACTTCAAACTTTAGCTTCCTATTAAATAGTCCATAATCCAAAATATTGTATTCTCCATTGAAAAAGTCATCTTGTCTGAATCAGGAGAAAAATATGCACAGATCAAGCATTGTTTACAAATGAAAGCATTCTGAAACTTTTCTAACCAAATATGTCAGTGGACTTGGACGAGAGAGGTCTTTACTGGGTGAAGCATTTTTATGGATTATGAACTCGGTAGACTCTATTTTGGCCAGAAGTGATGGTTTAAAGTTAAAATGCCTTAATGATTTATTACAAAAATCAATGCAGCTTTTCACTTTACAAGACGTTAATTGATGGACTGGCTTTGTATTGATAACTTAGTGTTTTTATCAGCTGTTTGAACTCTTGTTCTGACTGCACCCATTCACTTGCAAAAAATCTATTGTTGTACAAGTGATGTAATGCTATATTTCTACAATCTTTTCCAATACAAGCTTATCTGCACCTTGAATGACTTCAACACATAAATTTCATTTTTAGGTTAGCTATTCCTTTAATCAAAACAGAGAAGTTTATGAAGTGACATAAATGTATCTTTCTCTCTCTCTTTTTTACACCAGCCTCACACCCTGTTAAGTCTGGTCAACATTCACCTCTCTCAGGGAAACCTGACTGGCGCTCTGGCCGTGTTTCGTCAGGCCCTGACTCTCACAGTTCACTGTCCCCAGTGTCGTGCCAGCCTGCCTCTAATGCGCTGTCTCCAGTTTTACCCCTTCCTTTACAATCTCCAGCACCAGGCCTGTCCATGTAAGTAGCCTCCTCTGTAAACCTGTGGGACCCTTCTAACACTGAACCGAGAGCCCCCCCCCCCCAGACAGCTACCCCACTTCACCTTCCTCCATCACTCACTCTTTCCTCCTCCCTGGTGTTGCAGCCTCAGCTGCAGAGCGCTCTTTTTATAGCCAGGCACTGTAATTTTTGAGCCAATTTTAGACTCTTTACCGTTGCATCTTCTATTCTGGGTTTGCTCCATTCCCTCTTCTGCTCCCCTTTTCTCTTCTCCTCAGCATCCTGCACTGCTCCCCTTCTCTAGCTCAGCTCTCTCTCCCCTGGCACTCTTGTGAGTGAGAGAGACTTTGAAATAGCGAAATCGTGTCCTCAATAATTCAGGGCACTGAAAATAGCACAGGCTTTATTTAGATGCCGCTGCGCTCTGCAGACAAAAATGAACTCATTGTCCTCTTCTTGTTTGGGGGAACTCTGAGCTATTGATTTAGTGATTAATATGGCAAACCCCTTTTGAACTAACACACATATACAACAATGTGAATGGTGAATGTGTGTCCAAGTGGCTTCTGTTTCTACCTTCTTATAAATAATACAGTTGTATTGATTTGAAAAATCTAAGTTAAGCAACATGTGAGCTGAATTGTGTGTGTGTGTGTGTGTGTAGCTGGCTCTGGCTGTGAGGCAGAGGACGACACAGAGCTGGAGGAATGGGACACTGCCAGCAGCAGCAGCAGGCAGGAGGCCTGGGACACTGATGCCATGCCTGTGTCTGCTTTAGAAGACTCTCTTCTCTTTGAGAGTAAGATTAATAATGAAGCTTATGGGGGCTTCTTTCTCTGTGTTTGATGTTCATATACAATACAGTGGACTCAGTCCAACATTCTGAGACCACTAGCAAAAATACTTCTATGTTGCATTTATTATTAGCATAACAATTTAAGTGAGTTCACATACTTAATGTCACAAGTGTTTATTCCATTAGTGACTTAGAAATAGCATTAAATCTTAAATATCTCTTATTTATTTATTTATTTTGTATGTTTAATTTTTACATTATAGCGTTTCTTTTTGACATTATTCAAAACCCTAAATCTTTGTTTCAAGGTTTAAATTAAATTTTAAATCCCAGATTTGCAGTCTCAGAATTTTAGACTCCACTGTATATCTACAATATATTGGAAATGTTGTGACAGTTGTCAGACAGAATTTGACCTCATCAGTGTTCACATTAGCAAAATCTCTGCAAAAAATTTGTCTAGAAAAATAGGTCAATATTGTAGCGATGTATGAAGCACATCTCTCACAGAATTCACTTTTATACCAAGTAGCTTTCTGTTGGCAAATGTGGTAAAATCGCACAACAAATTTGAACTTGCTGCGAAATCTGCATGTGGAAATCTTTTGCTCTCATGTGAAATTCACAATTGTGTGGATTCCTATTAAAAATGTGTGTATTTCACCCACTTCGAAATGTAAATGTAACCAGGGTCTTAGGGTCTCTCTGTAAAGGAAAGTATACTGCAATACTACGCATACAAAATCTGTGAATTTTATCTCTTCATCAACTCTTTTTGATTATTTGATCTGACTACTAGAACTTAACTTTACCTATATTTCCTATCAATAAATTGAAATATGTAATTGCAATTTTCATACAAAAACCCAACAGATTGTATTTCATGTTTCATGTGAATCATTTATTAATACGGTCACTTTCCCCATGCTTTATGAGCTTAAACATATATTAATTGTAAGCCTTTACATGTTAAATTTGACATTTTTACTCCAGATTTAATTTAAAAATGTGAAAAAAAGGCTCTGTGATGGTAACTGTCCTGTCCTTGCTAAATTAAACAGAGTGTAGTGAGGCCATGTGATATAGCAATATAGCACAGCACTATGTTAAAGATTTATGGTTGCATATTTTATACTGTTTTATATTTCATGTTGTTTCACTTACTATTTTTAAACAATAGCTGGCAGAATACATGCAGTTGTTTTTTTTTTTTTTTTTTACAAACAGTCATTGTCAGATTGAGGATGTCAATCCACATGGAAAAGAATGAATGAAATCTTCTGAACAAGGACTTCTGCTCAACTCCTGTGTGCTTCTAAACAAGCAGCACTCTTTACCTTTTCTCTCTGTTCTTCTCTCGTCTTCTGCAGAGGTGGTGGTGGACAGCAACGGTTCAGGGGAGGCGAGTGGGCAGGACAGGGTCCGAGAGCAAAAGACTGACGGGGTGGAGGAAGAGGAGCAGGACTGGCGTCTGAGAGAAGAGCTGATAGGAGCATTTGAGGGGGCTCTGGACATGAACGGGAGGACAGGGGACCTACGGGGCATCCGCGTGCTGAAAAACGACAGGGTTATGGGGTCGAGAGCGGGAGGACCCTGCTTCGGTAACTGTGAGGATGATGAGGGAGCTGAATGGGTACGTCTCTCTGTTGAAATGTTTAAGAACTTTTTGTGTTCGTAATCAAGAAGAATTGAACTGTTTCCTGTTCTCTTCATTTCTTCAGATAACATTCCAGGTGAAACGTGTGAAAAAGCCCAAAACTGATAACTCGGAGGGCTGGGTGGGAGAAGGAGATGTTCATCAGAGTGAACCTGCAGCAAGCAACTCCATCCTTGAGATCAGTGGACCCACAATCCCCTCGCCTGGACCCTCAGGTGGTTCCTACATGACATTTAGTATTATTTATATACAGTCCTTAATTTTTTAGATATTTTAACTTTTAGGTTTATATTTTCATTTTAGTTGTAGCAAAATTAGTAGTTTAAATCTATTTCTGTTTAACTTTTCATTTTCATTTCAATTTTTATTTTTAGTCATTTTAGTCCAGCTTAAACTTACTTTCAGTTAGGTGCCAAGGCAACATTTTAAGTTTTTCATCTAATATTTGTTTTAATTCAGCTTTATTTCAGTAAACAGAAATTATTTTTATGGTTTGTTTTGTTATAGGGGTGTAACGGTACACAAACATGACGGTTCGGTGCGTACCTCGTTTTTGACGTCACGGTTTGGTATGGTTTTCAAAGGAAAAAAACTAAACATAAATTGCTTCTTTTTTAATTAAACAATGGTTTACTGAACAAATTGCTCTTTCTGTAAAAAAATTCAATTATAATTACAATTTTCTTAGGGATAAAAATCTACCTCAGATTCTTCTCTAAACTAGGGAACCCTTTTACATTACTATAAGGTTACAGTTAACAACAGAGCCCAAACTTAAACTCAATTACTATTTATTTTTAACTATAATAATTAACACTCAAATTAAAAAAATTGTATGCAAACATATTTTTTAATTAACTTCTAAATTATACAATTTCTATTTGTTGTTGTCTGTAATAATTTACAGAGTGGTTGTCATAACTTGTTTCATAAAGGATTTATTTAAACATACATTAAATAAAGATATCATTAACAAGTAAAGTAAAATATAATTAAGTATATAGTCTAAGGGGTGTAACGGTACACAAACATGACGGTTCGGTGCGTACCTCGTTTTTGACGTCACGGTTTGGTATGGTTTTCAAAGGAAAAAAACTAAACATAAATTGCTTCTTTTTTAATTAAACAATGGTTTACTGAACAAATTGCTCTTTCTGTAAAAAAATTCAATTATAATTACAATTTTCTTAGGGATAAAAATCTACCTCAGATTCTTCTCTAAACTAGGGAACCCTTTTACATTACTATAAGGTTACAGTTAACAACAGAGCCCAAACTTAAACTCAATTACTATTTATTTTTAACTATAATAATTAACACTCAAATTAAAAAAATGGTATGCAAACATATTTTTTAATTAACTTCTAAATTATACAATTTCTATTTGTTGATGTCTGTAATAATTTACAGAGTGGTTGTCATAACTTGTTTCATAAAGGATTTATTTAAACATACATTAAATAAAGATATCATTAACAAGTAAAGTAAAATATAATTAAGTATATAGTCTAATATTTTGCAATGTGCTCTTTACTAGACTTAATTTCTCTAGCAAATAACGAGCTGTGGGCAGGACACTGATGACTTGCCTGAGGTAAATGAAATGCTACGTGACATTTTGTTTACAAGCCGTTTTGAAATGCTAATTGAGCGATTACGTGAGGGGTGAGATGTCGATTCATGTTTATTTTGCGTTAAAACTATTAGTAAAGAGGAAGGGATGATCGTGATCACTTGCGCTCCGCGCTGCCATCAGAACTGAGGCATTTATACAGCGATATGTCATGCCACATCAAAGAGCGTCAAAACGGCATTTATTGTCTGAATTGCCTGAAAAATAGAATGATTTTTGCGTACCGAACCGAAAGACCCTTATCGAAAATTTTCGTTACGAATGCGTGTACTGTTACAACCCTAGTTTGTTAACAATAACAACGCTGACACCGAGATGATTCTGCTAGCACTGTAGCTGCGAAAGGCATCATGACGTCATAATATTTTACGTGTCTTTAGAGAGATGGAAGGACTACAGCAGTCTGGGTTGGCCCGGTCCAGAGGAATGTCAGCGCACGCGTCGTGTGGACCTCACAACTGTGGCTAGTACCTGGCTGGCTGTGTCTGCCAAGAACATAGAGTAGGATATCATTCGTAAAGTCATTCTGTCAGAATACTGTCATAGCGGGCTCTTTTCCACTAACATATGACTCTGAACTCCTCACAGTATCACAGAGCATATAGACTTTGCCACACCGCTTCAGGAGCCAGCAGTGGAGCCGGTGTGTAATGCCAATCTCCCTGCCAGTATGCACACACTGGACCATCTGAGCGGAGTGGCCAACCGCGGAGGCATTCACTATACTGGAGAGAGTCAACTCAGAGAGGTGTTTTTTAATCTCCTAGATTCTGCTGATCTGAAAAGTTCTGACGTTTGTGAATGGCTGTTTTTTTTCTCATCTCACCCTCACTCTTCTGTCGCAGGTGTTGCAGAATCTGGGAAAAGATCAATTTCCCTCACAGTCTTTTGAACAAGTGGGAACACGTATTGCAAAGGTGTTGGAAAAGGTATTACACTGAGTGTTTGTTCTAAGAATGTAACTACAAGTGTGCTCACATGCTCTTTAAAAGTTGCCTTCAGTTGGGTTAAAAAAAAAAAAAGTCGTCTTAATATCTAAATGAAATCGTACCAGTCTGGAATTTGCAAAGACCTGTGCTGCTTTTTAAAAGTTTAGGCTTGGTGAGATATTGTAATGTTTCTGAAAGAAGTCTCTTATGTTGATCAAGGCTGCATTTATTTGATAAAAAATATAGTAGAAACAATAATATTGTAAAATATCACTAAAATGTACAATTATTTTCTATTATATATTTTAAAATTTAATTTATTCCTGTGAGGGTAAAGCTGAATATTCAGCAGCCATTAATCCAGTCTTCAGAGTCACATGATCCTACATAAATCATGTTAATGTGCTGATTTGGTGCTCAGTGTTGATTTATTAAGTGATTAAAAACAGTTGTGCTGCTTAGTATTTTTGTGGAAATTAAGTTACTAAAACTAAGTTTTTTTTCAGGATTCTATGATAAATAGAGTTCAAATGAATGTCTTTACTTTCTTTTGATTAATTTAATGCATCCTTGTTATCCTTGAATAAACTTTTTTTATTTCTTTAAAAAAAATCTTACTGACCCCAGACTTTTAAAAGGTGCTGTAGATAATGTTATTGTAGCTTTATCCATTGTGTATTCATGTTAATGGGACTAAAATGATATCCACTAAAATGGTATGCACCTTATTTTTAACATAAGAGCGGGCGCAGCTATTTGGAACTTGAATGTGCAAGGCCTCCGGTTATTTTACCTGTACAAAAACAGTCTGTTATGCTGTTTGATATTGCAAACTGGTATTTGTTATCATAATTCATTATTGTAATCATAAACACAATGGTTTGTAGCACCAATAGCTTTATAGTTATTTACCTTTAGCGACTAATGAATCAGAAGTCTCACACATTCAAGAAAATAGCTTACTTCCGTGTTGCAAAATAAGGTGGATACTAGGACTGACAGACAGGACTGTAGCTGGACTATTCAAAAACCCAAACTGATGATAAAACTGTGCATGTAAACATACTTTATGACTGTTTGTATTTCTAGCTGAGAACAACTCAATGGAAAGTTTATCAGTGAGTAATAGATTGTTCCATTTCATGATCTGGGTGATCGTTTATCCATTAGAATCAGACATCCTGGGTTCTGTCCAGCATGGCAGCATTGTACTGGAGGGTGAAAGGTCAGGGAAAGAGAGCCATCGACTGCCTCCGCCAGGCTCTGAACTACGCTCCTCACCACATGAAGGTTCTGCTAGTTCTTCTATTATTAGACTTCGTCTCCATTGGCTGGCTTGTACAAAAGCAGATCTTACTGCAAGATGTGAATATTTGTTTCTGTTGTGTTAGGATGTGCCTCTCATCAGTCTTGCCAACATCTTCCATAATGCGAGGCTATGGGAGGACGCCCTGACTGTGGCACGCATGGCAGTGGAAATTGCTCCTCACTTTGTGGTTAACCATTTTACTCTGGCAAATGTTTATATAGCTATGGTAAGTGATTTTAAGGTAAGAGTCTTATGAGGGATTTTATTGATGTTAAGTGATGACTGCATTTAATACGTACTTAATGTGTCTTCATAGGAGGAGTTTGAGAAGGCCATGCATTGGTACGAGTCGACTCTAAAACTCCAGCCAGAATTTGGGCCAGCCAAAGATCGTCTGCGCACCATCCAATGCTACCTCCTCTCCAAGAGGGACAGGCGAGCTCCCTGAGGACACAACGCACACACACACACACACACACACACACACACACACGCACAAACGTAACATTATCATTGCTCCTTAATCTTAGCTATCAGTGAGGAACACAGTGTTTGTCTATTTGTTGTCTTAATTTCATAAATATAGACCATATCATTACTGTTAATAAGGTTGGTGTTCATTTGAGCTATGAAAACGGTTTCCCTTTTTTCTGATCTTTACAAAAAATTTTATGATGTTGTTTTAAGGCTTAAGGGTTATTTATTTCTATAAAACATCTTGTTATTCCTATAAAGGGATATTTTGGCTGGGGTCGAGATCCAATGTTTTAATGTGTCGGACTGTATTTGAATGCGATTTCTTTTAACAATGATACCAATAATACAATGCATCTTTTAGTCTCACCATATCCACATGTCCCTCTCTCGCAGCAATAGCTACTAGGTGTATAAAGGGTGTCTTAAAATGTTATTCAGAATACAGATGGTTAAAAGAAACACTGTAGTCTTTTACTTTACACAACCATTCTCCGATTTAGTTATGTCTAATAGTGACAGTTCAGGCTGTTGTATGCACTTTTTGTATCTGCCATCAGGGCAGGCTGAAGCATTTGGTACATCCTCCTGTTGCTTTTTATTTTTAGCTAAAAATATCCAATACTGCAAACAATTTCCCCTGATGGTTTACTGTACTGCTTTCAAACTTAGCTGACATGGAATAAATCATTAGCATTCAGGCTGAAGACAGAGCCACTGCAAATATTTAAACTAAACAAAATATCAGTAGCAAAAATTTAGATTTTAACGGATGTATTTTCCTTTCAGTTTTTAAAAGGTACCTTTAATAAGGAGATTGTTCTGCTCAAAGTTATAAAATACACTTCCATTCACTTTACTTTGCACAGCTGAGCTGTTGACTCGAAGATCTGATCTGTACTGTTCTATTTAATATTTAGAAAGTCAAGATAAATATTTCTGTCCATAGTCTATATGAAAACATACAGGTTCCTCCAGAATTAAAGTGGACATGCGGTTTTTAAAGACGTGTTTATGATTGTTTTCTGATGATTTTACTAAATTAAACTTGAATCCCAGTTCAGAACTGTTAAGCGTAAAATATAATTTGTGCTAATGTGTCTCTTTTAAAGGATCTCAACAACCTTGTGAATGGGTCACATAAAAAAAAAAACATCACCAAATCAAGCCCCTTGAAAAAAGTGTAATGTATAAAAATGGTTATTGGGATACAGGATGGATATGTTTTACTTTTTAAATAATATTTACAGGGTAACTTTTATTGGCTGTAGAGGTTGATGCTATAATTCATGCTATCCTGTTTTTGACCACAAGGTGGCTGTGAAGCCTCGTGCCATTCAATACATGAAGACATGCCATGATGATAAACATACAGACATACAAAGGTTATTTTTGAGACTTACTATCCACCTTTTTCTTGTCGTAAAAATGGGCGCGGCCATTTGTAAATTCTATGGGTCTGGCTTCCGGTCTCATCTGCGTCCACTCCGTTTAGCTATTTTTAGCTGAACAAAACAGTTCGTTTTGCTGCTTGATATTGAAAGTTGGTGTGTCTTATATTATTTTAATGTATTATCTTAATTATGAACACACTGGTTTGTAGTGCAAACAGTTTTACCGTTTACTGCACGTTGTTATTCTCCTCGTTATTTACCTATAGCGGCTAATGAACCGGAAGTCTCACCCATAGGCTTACTTCCGCGTTGAAGAAAAAGGTGGATAAGATATAATGTACAGTATAATGTAACATAAAAAAAATATATATATTTATCCATGTTAATGACTATCGATTTATAATTAATTGTTCCTATAACATACACTCTTTACACTCTAAAGTTCTCACTTCTCAGTAATCAAATACGTGTTTATACTAGATCAAAATATAATCATGATTATATATACAGAATATTTAGGCTTTTTTGCTACTACGAAATATGCCAGAAGCACCACATCAGCAGCTGGACTTTATAAATATAGACCTCGATAGATTTTGCTTGACACTCCAGTAGTAACACCAAGTCTAGTTGAGTGCCTCATTTATAGGAGAGCTCCCACCTACCCAGCCCCATCAAATCCGTTTTACCCAGAGCCCCGCCCCCTGTCTTTGTCAGTTGAATTAATTTGATACTATTTTTGAATTTCTGCGTTTCCCAGAGAAACCTAATGACGCAATGACGTCAATGCGGGTCAGTAGCACAGTGATAGGCTGGTGGCGGGGAAAGCTGTGCTCTCCACCAACAGAAACGACACTGCTGTATCTAAGAAGCCCTGGTGTCTATTACATTAAGCATATAGAGTATATATATATATAGAGAGAGAGAGAGAGATGAATGAATGAATGAATATAAAGGATGAAAAACACGTTTTAAAAATGCACTACAGTATGCTTTATTACACAAATTCGTGGTAAAACACTGATAATATGATTATATTTTTTTCAGCAAATTTACGTAAATTCTTACCGTGAATATGAACATCTTCCATTCACAGCGTCGCGTTCTCGTGTCTGTCTATGCAAAGCAAGTTTGCGGGATGCCAGCCCTCCTTTAACTTCTCAATAACCAATTTCAACCCCCTCCCCCAAATACATGGGAAAGCTGATACTTTCTTTAGGTATTTCTCTTCATTCAAAAAAAGCAAGCGAGCTCATTCACGCAGTGAGCACTGTCCAAATGCAGGCGCTCGTCTGTGTACTCCGTCTTGTCTAGATTCCTCTGTGAACACTGTGCGAACATCACTTTGCACTTCGAGGAACGAGAACATACGGTGAGTGATATTTTATTTCTTTCTGTTTCAGTTCTCAACTCATTTGGAACTTTATTTTGACTTCGGATCGCTTTTAAAGTGATCAGACGTTGAACTAGGTGATAACTCCACAGGGTTTGTTTGCTTGTGGTTGGATTGTACAGGTATTTGGAGTAGGCTACAGAGTCCAGATCAAAACTAGATCGGAAGATGCTACTTTTGTGTTTTGCAGGATTGCAGCTACTTAAAGTCTGACGCTTCGGTTTGTAGGCTATTTGTACGTTGTAAGCTCGATACTTCGCTGAGTGTTATATAGCAGATTATTCGTCCTTGATATTATGCGGCTCTTTCACAACTTTAAATCCGATATTCTCAAAGCGTGTTGTTCTCATTGTTGCCGAGTGGTCACGATTCGCGCTGTTGTAACATTTATGAATCGCACTGACATCTCCGGTACCCTTTAAGCTTTTGCAACGCTTACGTTTTAAAAAAGAGCAAACAAACAGATGGAATAATGAAACAAGCTTTTTTCATGAAGTCAGTCGTGTTCATGTTTTACTCCTAACTTGAGTTGTAGCAGATGAGGAACATGCGAACCATTTTCAAAACTAGCAAATCAAGTCACGGAATATGCAACCTGGACTGTCTAGACCGCCTCAACTCTGTCCTGTTGCACCCAGTCTAAACAAAAAGGACTTTGGTAAGAAAGCGTTCCCTTATCAGATGACATGAGCGGACGGAGGGTTTCAGCACCACGGACAGCGACTACCTCAGGCCTCGGCTCAAGAGCGTGCGTCGGACTACATTTCACGACAAACAGTATGAAATATGTAGCAACAAGTCTGCTGCATGAACGCAATGACACTATGGAACACGTATTTTTTTTTAATCGCCGGTGATCATCTTGCAAATCTTTACCCTGCATTTCCGCACACACATATATATATATATTAGTGGTGTCAAAATTAGCGCGTTAAAGGGTTAGTTCACCCAAAAATGAAAATTAGGCTGCGTTTTACTCACCCCCGAGGCATCCTTTACAAATCCTCGTTTTGTACTTCTAATTCTTGACCGTTGTTTTGTTTTGATCTCTCCGCGTTCGTCACTTCTGAGCGGCGCATGCAAAGCCGACCTCATACCTCATCCGCCCCGAACTGCTTCTGTTTACAACAGTGAGCACAAGCTAGATTCAAGTGATTATTACGTTTTGAATATGGCTATTTTTCTTACAAAAACGCATCGAATTGCTACAGAAGGCCTTTGTGCGGCGATTTTTATTTAAGTTCTTTTGGACAGAAGCAATGCAACACCCGCTGAGTGGCATTAAACAGCTTGAAAGATCAAAGACAATTTTTTATATAACTCCGACTGGATTCGTCTGAAAGAAGAAAGTCATATACACCTAGGATGCCTCAGGGGTGAGTAAAACGCAGCCTAATTTTCATTTTTGGTTGAACTAACCCTTTAATGCAGGCGATTAATTTTTTCAGTTTAACGCTAACGCAATTAACGCAGGGGCGGGGCTAGGGTTGGCCACCCCACTCACAACTACTGCTTCTGTCACTTTTTCTCTTGACAAGAAGTGCATGTATTCAGTCGCAGAACGAGACGTTTCAGTGGGAGACGTTTCAGACGCGCGCTCCACTTTACTTCAGCGCCAGGCGCGAGTCAAGCGAGCGCTGAAACGGTACTGTGCTTGCAGCGCGTGCTCTTCAATTGCACGCACAAAGGCGCCGGCGCGCGCTGTAGCCTGTATCCTTTCATATCAAAGCGCGAAATAAACTACGTGCATGCAATGTCGTGGTCAGTTAAGTCATGAAGTTACCAAAAAGGCGATTAAAGCTGCCTTAAAACTGTGCATGCATGTAATATATTTTATATGAGTCACATTTAAGAACATGTCTCTGAAATGGTTTTCAAAACTGTCCAGGAGCAGACCAGCACTGTCTCACTCATCACACCCGATTTAACTCGTCAGCTCATTAATAGAGACTTTAAGACCTGAAGTGGCTCAGAAAAGCTAAAAAGAGTTGAGAGAAAATATGATGCGTGTCAGATCAGCGTCACGTTCAGCAGCGACAGCTCTTAAGTGCCACCAGCCCACCGGTGGGCCCGTTGACTTTTTTTCGTTGTCTTTTTTTCTCTGTCACATATCTTGGTAATAATCATAAATTACATATCATTTGAAAGCTTAAACCCTCAAAATTCATCTTGTGAAAACCATTTTGAAATCGGACCTTGCGTTACCATGGAAATGGTACTTTAAAATCTTTTGGCGGTCTCCTCCCCCTTAGTGGGTGGTGTCAGGTGTCATATTACAAAATGTATTGTGGTCTTTTAGAATCAAAACATTTTATAATCTTGACAAAATGCATATCGTCTGAAAGGTCTGAGTCTCAAGATTCCATATTTTGTGATAGTAGTAAAATTGACAAGAGATATTTAGACATTTGTGACAGAAAAATGGATTTAAAAAAATTCCATGGAGTTTTGATGGCGCCCAGTGGCTGTTTGTGGTATAACGCCCTAAATAAAATCTCTCAGGAACCTCAATTTTTTTTATATCAATGTCAAATTTGGAACATAACTTATTTAGACATAAGGCTTTAATTTTATAGCAATTTTGGATTCAAAAATATTTTGAAAAATCTAAATGGTACAGTGCATTTTCTTTACAGAAAATTTAAACTTCTTTAACTGTTTGATACTTTAATATTTTGAAATGATTCTACTTCTGCAATAATCTGCAGATTGCTTTCTTTAAAAAAAGAGTCCAACCTTAGGTCTGTATTCCAAAGCGTTCATGAATTATATCAATTTAAGTTTGAATAGTGCACTTTCACATCTATATTCAAAAATGGGGGGGTGGCACTTAAAGGGTTAAAGAAATAACAGCCAAAACAATCTAATAACCAGCTGCTGTGATGTCTATTAATCAAAGGACAAAGAAAAAAAAGAGGAAAATTTTTTTATAGAGAAATCAGTATTGATATCATTGATACTATATACTGTCTTTATGTTGTTTGTGCATTAATTTGAAGATTGAATCTGAAATTATTGCAATATAAAAGTATATTTAAAAAC